AAGAATTCATTCTGGAGAGAAACCCTACAAATGTCAACAATGTGGCAAAGCCTTTAAACGGTGCTCCCACCTTTCTAGACATCAAAGAATTCATTCTGGAGAGAAAGCCTACAAATGTTAAGAATGTGGAAAAACCTGTAATAATAATTCAGCTCTTACTAAATATAAAAGAATTCATTCTGGAGAGAAACCCTGTAAGTGTTAATGATGTGGCAAAGCCTTTCACTGTAACTCAGACCTTTCTGTACATCAAAGAATTCATTATGGAGACAGAACTTACAAATGCCAAAAATGTGGCAAAGACTTTAACCAATACTCAGGCCTCTCTGTACATGAAATATTTATTCTAGAGAGAAACCATACAAATGACAATGTGGCAAAGCCTTTAATTAGTATTCTGAAGAGAAATCTTATAAATATCAACTGTGTGGCAAATCCTTTAACTCATGTGCAAACCTCACTGTAGATAAAATAAATCATACAAGAGAGAAATCCTCCAAATATAAAAAGTGTTGTAGTACCTTTATCTGGTAGGCAGAAAAGAATTCACACTGGTGAGAAATTCCACAACTGTGAACAGTGTAGCAATTCCTTTATCTGGAACTCAAACCTTATTACATATAACAAAATTCAGATTGGAGATCTTACTGATGTGAATAACGTGGCAAAGGTTTCTACTGCTCTTCAGCCCTTTAAACATAAGAGAAATCATCCCATAGAAATAATGTAACAGTATGAATACATGGCAAAGCCTAATGCCAGTAGTCAAGTTTTCGGTACACAATAGAATTCATGTTGAAGAGAAACTCTACAAATGTAAAGAACCCAACAAATGTTTAACGTGTGCTCAAACCATTGTATAAATGAAAACTTTATAACAGCGACATCTCTGACAAATGTGAAGAACGTTTGAATCCTATAACCAGTACTCACACATTTCAGTACATAGCAGAATTCATGGAGAAATTGTATATATGTGAAGAATGTAACAATGTCTTCAAATGTTTCTAATGCTTTTCTCATCACAATTCATATGAAAGAAATAGTCTACAAATATCAATCATGTCTCAGAGCCTTAAAGTAGTGTTTGTCCTGTTAGGTAGGGCTGAGGAGAGACAGTGTCAGATGATACTAGGAGATCCTTTGCCCATCCTAAGAAGAAAATGACCAGAAGGGGCTTCCATGAAAGACAAGCTGGCATTTAAAGAAGGCTTCCAAAAAGTGAACTGGTGTTTGTTGTACAAAAATGAGTCTCAGAAATAGAGAGTCCACAACGTGGACATACAGCCAAGGCCATAAAAAGGGATGTTTGGATCATGGGTTCAAGTAATGTGACTATAAGCTCAAGTGACCTATTTCTATTAACATGGTACAATTTGCACCACTTCTATCACGCTACATAAATACAATGATAACTTCTGGAAATTGCCTTGCAGGGATAGAAAATGAAAAGACACTCCTTTCTGGAAGTTTTTGCTCCTTCCAAGAAAAATCATGAATATTTACTCCACCACCACTTAACATAGAATTGGAAAATCTATGTAAAGGCAAAGCATCTTACTAAACCCAGAGTCTTCTCCACTTGAAAGATGTGTTCCTTCTCTGGATTGTACCGTTCGCTAATAAACTTGGATCTTTTGCATACATGTATCTACTTATTCTGTTCATTTGTGCCACTGTCTTGGTATCAATAATCATTCCTTGGCACCTGGAACAAAGAAAGAGGGAACATATACCTGACATCCCATCCACATTGTGACATTTTGGTGCCAAAATTTGGGAAGAAAATACACATCTTCAACAAGATAAGTTAATAGAACAATAAACATTGTGAATTCACACTGCCTGCTCACATTGCTTATTACATCTACTGGTCTCACACTGTCTTTGCTTTCCAGGTGATGTAGCTCCTTACCTACCCTGCTTCATCCCTTTCTGTCTTCATCTCCACAATGCACGCCATTCCCCAGTTAGGCCTGATATTCAAAAGCTTAAAAAGGTGCCTCAGGCTCCACAACCAGAATGTTAAACCAGATTTTTAAGGTCTTGCTAACCAGAGTGGGGAGGAAGGGTCAGTGAGAGAAAGCCAGGCCAGCAGCAGGCCCCAAGAGCAGAAGGCAGTTTTGAAATGGTTGCCACCACTAGGGAAGAAGATCGTCAGGGACAGAGTTCCTAGACTCTCAGGTGAGAAGACTAGAGGCCTAAGCCTTCCCTCACTATGTGGGTTCCTGGGGCAAGAAATGGCTCCAGAAGGGGTCTCTACTGAGACCATGCCCTCTTGTTGCATTTGTTATTGATCCAGCCTGAGAGGAGTTGGAGTCTCCTCTAGAGAGATGCACTGGTAGTGACATTGCCCTCTCCTGGAGACGGGATCACACTCTTCTTCCAGACCCTGTGAAATCCCTGAACCAGCATTTACCATCTGGAACTCTTTCAATCTGTTGGGCATACTGCAGCTTCAGTACAGGTCTACTTTCTGATTCTGGGGTGGCCAATTGTTGGGGAGTTGTCTGCCTCTGTCACAGTAAATGAAGTGATGTTCATAACATTAGAGCTACTCCTCTCTCTCCCTAGATACTCAGGACCTCTGTTTCCCTCTCCTAGTTCTGTCTTAAGAACAGAAGGTAAAGTACAACCCCGCTGTGTGCTCTAAAGTCCATCACTGGCTGATGATGTTTCTGTTTCTCCCTTTTAGTGCTTTCCAACTGCCCTACCTAGTGTTTGGGTGAAGTCTTAACTTTAGGTTAGAGCCCTAAATTTTTTAATCCACAGGCCTCCTGTTTTAGGCCTTTAGAAAGAAAAGACTTAACTGGGATAAAATTTTTTGTAAAAAGAAAAAAATTAAGGCAAGAAGAAACCAGTATGTAGGCGAGAGATGTGAAGAAAAAATGAATATGAAGAAACACGGGTGGTGAGGAACATTATGAGGAGAGAGAATGATTTTGTGTAGGACAAAGCCTAA